TGTGCTTACCTGTGATCCCCTTCCTCCTCTTCCCACGCTCTTTTGTCACCCCCTCTAATGCAGTTCAGGAAGCACTTTAAAATACCTTCTCTGTGTACCTTTATTTTATTTTAAAGCAAAGGTTCTCTGCCCCAGATTGTGGTCATGGTGCACCAGCTTTGTGGTTTGGGCCACGCCTGTGTCCTATCTGCATTATTCTCTCTTTAGTGTTCCTTCAGTCCACCTTTGAAAACCTTTGAACTTATTTTGAAAAGATTCTTTATATCACAGCAATATTTGGAAAATCAGTTTTTAAAAAATCTATTAGAGGAATATCTCAGTGTTTTTTTTTTTTTATATATAAAAGATTGGTATACCTCTAAAATGATCTTGGCAATGTACCGCATTTGGAAGATTCTGTTTTAGCTCATGCTGTCTGTTTCTCATCTTTGGTGGAACTGTGAGGGAGTTAGGTCCCACTGCCATTGGGAGTGGAGAGAACTGGGTAAGTACTCGAGGGCAGTCAGGGAATGGGGGATTTCTATGCAAGTTTATCTTTGTGAGGTTGGTTTCCCACTGCACTTGCTTGGGCCATGACAGGGCTGGGTCTGCCTGACAGAAGCTTTACCCCTACTCCTCCTTGTTCTGTGGTTTGCTCATTGTGGACATTGTGATGGCTGATGATACCCCTCCTCCCCCAACCTCCCCCACCTCCACCAACTACACCTCCTCATTTGAGGCAGATGGGTGAGTTAGAGCTGAAAGACCAGATCCTTGGAGAGGGCCTAGCATTGACAGGTGGATCACTGACTGGTCTGAAATGGGATGAGAAGCCCCCAGCTGCACCTGGAGCAGCAGTGACTACACTTGGGTGGACAGGGAAGAAGTGGTTGGACCCTTAGGACTTCCTAGTGTCTCGTGTCACTGGAAGGTCTGAGCGCAGGTGGTTCTTAGTAACAACATCCCAGCAAAAACAACAGATGTTTTTTTAGATGGCATGTCAGGGTTTGATATTAAATCAACTCTGTTGGTTATAAAAACAACTAGATGTGGTAGGGCAATCTTCAGCTGAGCAGTATACATCCTAGAACCAAAGAAGGGGAAAATCCTGTGAAGTGGAGAAGAGGGAGTTGCTCTAAGGTATTAATGGACACGGTGGCAAATACCTATGCCTCCTTGATCTGAGCTCTCTGCCTCACAGGCTCACCATGCATGTGTTGTCAGTGTAGACAGGGTGGAGGTGCTTTCCCCCCATATAGGTGAAGGGGTGGCCTGCTCCATAGTACTACCATCTTTCCTCTTGAGGATTTTCTTTAGTGTTTTTGTCTGCAAACATAACTTCACTATAGAAGATTAGGGAATACAGCTGAGCAACCAAAAGAGAAAAAGGCTAAAAGTAATAGCCCTATGAGCTCATTGCTCAAAGGAGTCTGTTGGAATACTGCCTGCATGTCTAGCCATCAGGGCTGTGTGGCACTCATGCTCCCTCTTGTGCGTGCACATGTGGGGTGGGGTGTAGCAAAGAGGTGAGGCCCCCTGGCAGGAGACACCCTGCCTATGAACTGATGTGCCCAGAGCCCCGCTCAGGCTTTGGTCTTCCTCGCTCACCTTGGCCTTTACCTATTGAGGCTGACCAGCTTGTGGTGGTGGGAACTGTGGTGGTTTGTAGGCCTTTGGAGGAATGAGTGAGCCTACACCATCCTCCCCACGTCTTTCACTCACTCAGAGCCTTTTCATAGTTAGGATTCATTTAGTTAACTAATCCATTCTATTGTCTCATGAGGTGCCAAACAAAAAGGCAGTTTTAATTTGCTAATCATAATAGACCTGTATAATAAGAATGATGGACTCTCTATGGCTCTTCTAGCTACAATTAAAGTTCTATTGGCTGGTTGCAAATTAGTTGTTCAGAGTCTGGGAATTATTTTCTTGGCTTGGTAATGTGTGCTTTTTTTTTTTTTTTAATTTATTTTTGTTGGCGATCTCTGTACCCAGTGTGGAGCTTGAACTCATGACCCTGAGATCAAGAGTCACATACTCTTCTGATTGAGCCAGCCAGGCACTCTAGTAATGTGTTAGGTTTTAAGAAAAATTTTTTTGGTGGAGCAGGAGCTCTCTGGTTTTCATAATCACCTGCCACCTACTCCCTCTTTGTCTTGGTTTGCTCTGCAACTTGGCCTAGTCTGTGTGACTCCAGTGGCCATTTAAGTTTGTATTCCATCTCAAGGGACACACTTTGGGGGGAGGATGCTTAGAAGCATCAGTGAAAACAGTGGGCTATATGGAACTGCGTGTATGCATGCATGCGCACACGTGCGCACACACACATTATGCCCATAGGAAACTCCGGTTTTGCTCTTGCTCCATAGTTAGGTAGGCTGTAACCATTGGGAAGACTGGGCCAAGGGCATTGGATCTCTTGATACTATCTTTGCAACTTCATGTGAATCTAATTACTTGGAAAAAAAAAAACCCAAAAAAACCAAAAAGGGCCTCATACAGGTGTTTGAATTTCATCCGTAAACAGTTCCAGTGACCTGAAAGTTTTAACTTCCCACAAAAGGCAAAAAGTTCATTGGTAAAAATAGTCTGGGATGAATTTCTGGCTCCCAGAGGTGCTCACCCAGTGGTTTGATGTACTCCTGCAGTTTCCCATCAATTTGATGCATATCAGTTAATATTAAAAACTTCAGTTTTAATCTGTTGCATCTAATTTTTAAATAGGATTGTAAGACACTATTAAAAGGTCCAACCCAGAAAAGAAGCAGCTACTTGAAACCTTTCTGTGCTGGCTGCAGCGCAGCAGAGGAACAGGGAAGCTAAGGATTGGCCTGTATGCCGTGAGCAAATGAGAGCCCGAGCAGCAGACGTTGACACGGTTCACCTGTCTGTCCGCCTAAATGAGCCTGCAGATTCCGCCATGTGGAAGATGCTCTGCCTTGGTAAATGATGCCATATAGAAATGCAGATCAATTGCTTTCCCTGGTCTTCAGGTCCTACGTGACTTGAATTCACATGTGATGAGGAGGAGGTTGGAATGAGTGACAAGACTCTGCCGAGGCAATCCAAGAAAACAGGCTGGACAATCCATGTGTATCGGGGAACATTTCCCTCCCCAAAACCTTTCCAGGACTTGTAGTTGCTTAGCCTCAGACATTTGCTATTCATATCACAGATGGAGAAAGTTGCAGACATCTTTATGAACATCCATTAGAGGCTGTCTAGGAGGAGGGAGGGGGATATAACGGACTCCTCTGTGGTTTACTCTCTAGAGCTTCTGAGATGAACGTAGTGTTCTCAGGTGACACCTAAGTATATGGTAGAATCTGCAGTTGGTGATTTTTTTTTCTGTCAAAAGTGCAGAAAAGCAAAATAGCAAACACAGGGCTGAGGTGTAGTCAGATACTTGGAAAATAGTACTGATGATGGGAAGTCTGAAGCTTTTACCCTGAATAAGTGTGTGGCGCACTCCCATGCCAAGGAATGGCATTTGCATCCATAAATGGATGGAGTTAGAAATGGCCTATGTGGTGAATTGTTAAAGGAGACAACCTAGTTGCAGAAAACCTGGTTTTACAAAGTAAGCCATAGTTGAGTGTATGGGTGTTGTTGAGTGTTGAGGAAGGCCTGAAATGTATATGCTGGATTTTCAGTTCTGGATACCATGAGGAAGGGGGGTGACTTGAGTGGTGAACAAAGGAAAAAAAGACTTTAAGCAAAAAAAAAGAAAAGAGTGTGAAAAATGTTTCATCCAAGAGAAATAGATTAACTGCGTGCGTGTGCACATGCATGCATACCTAGAGAGAAGTATGATAGCATAGCTATAAAAGTGTCACTGGGTTGATTTCAAGGTGTTCGGCTTTCAACTGACTTTTACATTCCTGCTGAAATGTGCTCTGATTGAGTATTTTGCGATGTGCATTTACATTTTTATATTTATAAAAAGAAACCTAGTCTTAAAGCTGTTTTCATATTGAGGAAATGTTCTCTGATGCTTAAAGGCACTCAGGCTCAAGACCTTTGGGTGGGAGGAGTAGAATCAGAAAGTGTGGAAAAAGCAACTCTCTCTGGGGGCACTGATGAGAAACCAAGTCCAAATCCCAAAGGAGACCAAGAAAAGCTCTTCTGGGCCTTGGGACAGAGCGACCTGGGTTTATGTTTTGGCAGTGAGCCTTGCTTATGACCTTGACCTTGGCCATGTGACCTTAGTCACAGACCTTATCTGCGCCTCAATTCCTCCTCTGTAAATTGAGGAGAATACTATTGGGTCATTGTGCCTAATACACGATAGGCATTTAAACATTTTCCTAATGAATGAAGAATGAATGAAGTCATGTTGGTAAAGTGTGAGCTGTGTGATACTCAGTAAATGGTAGTTTTCTCCTTCTGATCCTCATGTTCTTTTCCTTAGCCATGTACCTGGGGAGTGAATTTGGTAGAGTAGGGTCTCGATGGAGCCTGAGTTCTGTGTTGCATAATATAGAGTCTTGTATGGAGATGGGTGTGGACTAAGCTGCTGCTTCTCTTTATGACTCCATTTACTCACCTGTAAAATAGGTGTGATGAGATATTGGAAAGATTAATGAGATGACAAAGATTTCACGTGATGCCTGGCAAATAATATATGTTCAGTGCATTGTAGCAGTTAATAAAAAGTGATTTTTCCCCAGGTTGAATACATGGTATTTAGGACGTGCTTCTGTTAACAGAATATCACTGAGTGCCTGATTCCGAACAGCCACCTAACAGCTTGACAGACTCAGATAATCCAAGCACAACTTATGTCTGTATCCTGACTTTGTGGGGACTGGAACCAGTTAGCACTTAATTTACAGTTTTTGCAGGCTTTTTGCGAATGTGCCCTTGCTAATGTCTCCTCCAACAACAGTCTCTTATACAGAAAATGTATTAATATTTATATCATGAGCCCTATGTTATTTTTTTATACAGATTGCCCCCCATTTATATCTAAATCTCCAGTTTTTAAAAATGTATTTTTTTTAACGTTCTTGTACCTGCAGAGAAAACGAGGTGCTCAAAGTCCAACTGAAGAAATACGTTGGAGCTGTCCAGATGCTGAAAAGAGAAGGTCAGACAGCTGAAGGTGAGGGGGAGACTGAGCTTGGTTGGGAAGGGGTCCAAGCTTTTGAATCTCAACAGCCCTTGAACCTGTAGTGTAGGAGACCCTCAAAGTGTGATGAGTGCTTATGCAGATGAATTAGAGAAACAGTGCTGATCAGGAATTTGGAAAGCAAATTAGATGGAACATCCCATTGTGTATTCTTGCTAAATGCATAACTAATACTGTAAGACTTAATTGCTGGATCACTAGCAACAGTTGTATTAATTTGTGTACTTAGGCAGTTTTATGTCTGGGATCTTAAGGTACTTGCTAGGTAGAGAACCTTGCAACATGATAAAGTTCCATCAGGTCAGTGGTGAAGAACCAGAGCTGTGGAATTAGGCTGACCTGGTTTCAACCCCAGTTCTGGCTAAGCTTCTTCATCTCTATGTACTTTAGTTTCCTCATCTGTAAAATGGGGTCCCTACCTTATGAGGTAATTCCTCTAGATATCTCAGCATAATGCCTATTCTAGGGTAAGTGCTGAATAAATTTTAGCTGTTAATATTAGTCAGAAATGCAGGTAAAAAAAAAAAAAGATCTCTTGACCAAGATTGCACCAAAGGAGGTGATACCATATGCTGCTTCTCTCTGCATTTTGGCTACACTTTAACTGTCCTGAATCAACTCAAATATTTCTCTGGTCAGCTGGAAGAAAGGATATTTAACTTTGGCTGAAATGTCTTGCAGCCTTCAGCCAGTTTACCATTAAAAGGTTTCCTTAAACACAAATGAACTCTTGGAGTGTAGACATTTTATTTATTTATTTATTTATGTATGTATGTATGTATGTATGTATGTATGTGTAGACATTTTAACAAAGGGGTGGACCCTCCAGGCTTACAGGTCCTGGGAGTCAGCCTGACCTGCATTTGAATCCAGACTCACCCGGTATAACTTGATGTCTTGGAGTTATTTTGCCACCTGTAAGTGGAAACATCCCTCCAACATCATGGAGATAGTTGTGGGGATTTACTGAAACAACGAACACGAAGTTTCCAGTATGGCACCTGGTCTGTAATTGGTGTTCAGTAAGTGGTTGTTATTTTTCTGTGTGCTAGAAGGAGACTGACTTGGAATCTGGATATGGTTTGCATAGGAATAACAGAAAGTCTTGAATTTTGTTTGAAGCTTTTGTGTTGATTATGGTCTCTGTTTGATTGGCTTCAACATGTTGATGATTACTATTATGATTTTTATCACATGCTTTGCTTTGTTCATCATTAGTCTATACTGTTACCAGTCTAGAGGTTATCATTGCAGAATTAAACATGTCTTCCTGTGGGCTCTTCACTTTTTCAAACAGACGTTGCTATTATGGCTCTGAATTTATTTGACCATGTGTTCTGTGGATGTTGGTCTTTTGACTTTCACTCCCCATCTTCGTTTCCCCAGCACCTCGCTTTTGTAGTTGCTCGTTCCATTCATGATGCATTTTGAGTGAGTGGTATTTATCTACCCTTCCCCTTTCCAGGCAGCTTTACCTCTGTTTCCTTTGGACTTTGTCACCCTGTGAAGAGTAGATATTTTTCCTCTGTTCTGTTGTAATTTTTGATTTTTTTGGTTTTTCTTTCTTGTATTTTAGAAAGTTCATTATTAGAGGCTTATGGGAGTTTAAGGGTTTTGTATGTGTATCAAGGGTGGAAATAAAGTCAGGTCATTTTCTTCCAAATCCTGAGTTCTTTGCCTTCCAAAGTTCTTGAACTATAGTGTGCAGAGGGCATTACCTGGGGGAACTTATTAAATATGCCTCTTTCCAGGGGGAGAAGAATGCTGTTTTTGTCATGGGTGGTTTCATCTAGGATGGGCCCCACATTGGCATGTCTAGATAATGTGACTCTAATGCACATGACTCATGGACTATACCCAACTGCCTTTTGAGAAATCTGTGCCCTGCCTGCTCAGAACTAGGAATCGGTGCAGTAAGAAAATTAAACCTAGGAAGAAAGAAGCGTTGCTGGGCTTGTGATTTAAAACCTCGACTTTATAAAACACATGATGGAATGTGAGCATCATTGGAGTCCTTCCTCCGGCACTCGAGTACACAGAACCCACAGTATACAGAATTGTTTCCTTTACCATTGCCGGTCCTTAGGCACAGCCTGGATGCCCTGAGCCAAAGTTGAGTATGTGCCTTCAGGATGTTGAGATGGCTCTTGAGTGGATCAGTAGAGACCGTGTGGCGTGTCTTGTACTCTGTGTGACAGCAGTCCTTACTGCTGTTCATTATTGTGAAATGTAAGACCATCTGCCTTCTCTGCAGGTCATTGGTCAGTGAAAGGTTTTTATGAAAGTCCTCTAGTGTGGGCGTGCACAGGTCAGTGCTCTGTTGTGGTGCCTTAAGCCATTTAGTTCATGCCTCTCACTCAGAAATCCTAGTGAGCACCTGTAATGTGCCAGGCACCAGGAAGCAGCCTTATTAAAAGGGGTGCTTTCAAAGAGCTTTGACCTAATTTTCAAGTGACGCCCTCTATTGGTCAAGTGAATCGAGGCTCAGTCCTCAACCCCAGCTAGTTGCTGACTCATTTTCAAATACAGTGTGTGCCCTTGTCAGGCTATAGTAGCTTGGGGTGTCTCAGCCAGGCTAGGATGGCTTGGGGTGTCTGGGGAGTTGAAAGAGTAGGGGCAGGGAGAGGTGGGAGGGGGAGAGAGTCCTTCCTGATTTCTGATTCCCTTGGGGTTATGGGTGGACGTAGAGATGTATACCAGCTTCCCATATTCTAGGTGGGAGTTCGGAATGCATTTTCCACAGTTATAAGCCTTTTAGTTTGAGGACCTAAAGATTCTATTTATCTTTTGGCAACAACTTATTTATGAAGTTGTTATTCCCCTAATCAGTAGGGGAAAAGAGTTGAGAAATCATTCTTAGCCCCAAATACTCAGGGTTGAATAGATTGCTTAGGGCTGTGTTGGGACCCCCAGCTTCATTGTTGTGGAAAAATGTCTCCAAGATTTAAAACAACAACAACAAGAAACATTTAAAACGGGCCCTTAGAATAGATTGTTGACAACCTTTAATTTTGTAGATTGCAGATTCCTATTGTCTCCCTTTTTTAAAAGAACGGTTCCCTCTAAAATAAATGAAGATTTCATCAGTAAATATGGATTCAGGATTTTGGGTGACCTCAATATTAACTGAAGTGATTTTTTCTCCTTAATATGGTCCAGGAGTGTGAGGTTGGGTTATTCACCACTCGAGTGCTAGTTTTCCTTCCTGAGACCTGATTTCCCAAAAGCTTATGCCTTCACTTGAATTTTTGGATCTCTTTCATCCTGACGTGGATTGTCTGCTCTCCTTCCAGCTTTAGAGCTGTGTCCACAGTGAACTGGCCTGACAGTTAAGCTTGCAGTGTGACTCCTATTGGATGCTTAATCAGTTCTGTTAAGGAATTCAGACATTTCTCCAGTGCAGGGGAGTTTCACTTATAGAGGGAGAGCAGGAGATGGCTCTCCAGACTCCTGTTTTCATCTATGAATTCACTGAAGTATGAAACCTAGTATGTCAAGTTGGCTTCTTGCCTGGAGAAGGCCTTCTGGCAGCTCACTGAGGGACCTGAGGAGCAGCGAACCCCCTCAGATACCTGCTGGGTTTTGTCGACAAGATGGCTCATTCTCTCAAGAATGGACTCACATTAGCCAAGCATGCAGAGGATGATGTGTAGTCAGAAGAGGAGTTCATCCATTCGTAGTGAGTAAACCAGAAGCCCAAATCTGATGCTCAGGCACATCGTTCCTTTTGAGTCTCCTCTGATGGTGGCTTGTGGAGTCAGAAAGGGGGTAACTAGTTGGGTGCTTCTTTAGTGTCTTGATGGGCCCCAGACAAGCCCTTACTTGTAGAGATGCTGTCACCTACTGGCTCTTTACATGGTCCTTTTTGGTTGGGGGGTGGGGCTTTTGGTTTAACAGGGTCCTGTGCTGATTCTGTCAGATGGTAGTTGATGGTGAGAGAGAGAATGTGCATGTGCAGCTCTTCTGTAAAAGAGATATTTTGTACTTGCCTCACAACCGGTGGTCAACAGATAATTTTGTTTCCATTAGAGATGATTATTAATCCTGGTTCTTCCTCTTTCCTCTAATCCTGGCTCTTCCTCTTTCCTCTCTAGTTCCCTGTAAGACCTAGACACAGGACTCTCTAGGAAACTCCAGCTTGAGTAGCTGTGGTCACCATCCCTCACACACTGCCACCCACGTGTAGACCCAGGGACTCTCCTGGTGAGTTGAGTGTCAAGTCTGCAGAATTATTTCTCACCCAACAGGGACCAAGAGGGAAGAATGTCCGTGGGGGTTGGTAGGTGACTTTTTAATCAACTCCACACAATTGAGAATCTCCCCAACCAGCCCTTGAGGTATGGGGAGCAAGGGTGAGAGCATTTGGCTGGTAGAAGTCTCCATGGGGAAGCACAGCTCCTGGATGGAGGCCCTCTGCCGAGAGCTGTGAGGAATGCCACTGGGGAGAGGTGTCCTGAGGGAGATCCGGGCAGGACTGGTCCAGGAGCATGGCTGTAGTATGGATTTAAGGCTCCTCCTCCCTTGCATCCACCACATGGAGAAAGAAGGATGGCTTATTCTATCAGGGCCCCTGTGTCTTTGTCCAAGGTGTCACTTCATCCTGCATATGGGGCCCTGGGCATGGCCCATGAACAAGATGCTCACGGTCTCAACATTGGGGAAACCCAGCATGCCACATGATCGTAGCATCTCACCATGGCCTTGGGTGGAGGGATAACTTCTGTGTAAGGATACTGAGGACTCCTATGCACAACTGACGGGACCATATAACCATTCTGTGACTGTTTCTTCCTCTTTAAAATGGGAATTGCAGTAATGACTTCCTCACGGGGTTTTGGGTAAGATGGAGGTGGGTTAGTAAGTGTAAAGCACTTAGCATCCTGCTGACATGAGCCAGTCAGTACATACTGGCCACTGATCCTATAGTCACTACCTCTACCTCTCTCAGCCCTTTTGTATGGTCCTAAAATTAG